CAGCCACTCTCATATCTACTGGGGCCAGAGGAGAGCCGCAGTTAGAGCCAAAGGTTTGCAGCTGGACTTCTCTAAAAATATTGTCCATCTGAAGTGTTTTAGAGTGCAGGGTATGTTGTTGGAAGGGGTCTTGTTTACTGTTTTGAGATACTTGCAACTGGGGGTGTAGCCTGGCATACTGGTTGTACATGCAGGGGGTAACGACATGGGGGTTAATTCGCAGCGTGAGTTGGTGTGAAGAATGAAGAGGGATGTTTGCCGTATGTTGGAGTTGGTCCCAGGATTGAAGCTAATTTCGTCTGAAATTATCTCTAGGATGAGCTGGCGACATGCCAGGGACATGGGGGCGAAGGAACGTAGACGTGGGAAGACCAACAAGTTGATGGCCGCTTTTGTGAGAAAGCGTCAGGGTCTGATGGTTAAGCACTTTGCTCTGGAAGGGGGTAGCATGAGTCTGTACATTAGGGATAGGTACATCAGGTTTAATATGTTTTGGATCATTGTCCATGTTAATGCACCTATTTTAAATACAGGTTTTGCGGGACAATGATTTTAATAAATCGGCTGTGACCTTTTTTATACCTAAAGTTGGTGTCGGAAAAAATAGTTTTACCTATGCAATGCTTAGTGAATATTCCCCTAGACATACATAGCTATACATTTTATGTTACAGGGCGTCCGTCTCATGTCCTGCTTTCTGCTACTGTATTTCTTATTACGTAGCTAAAGCATTACTGTATACATAGCTTGTAGGTCTGACTATAATACAAGATACTCATGCTTTGCAAGAGTTAAAGGCACATTCCAGGCACCCAGACCACATCTGCCCATTGGAGTGGTCTGGGTGCCAACTCCCACTACTCTTAACCCTGCAAGTGTAATTATTGCATTTTAAATTCTTTCCTATGGGGAGCTCTAATGCGCATGCCCAGCTGGTGGGCGGGATCAGTCTCGCCCACCGGCCGACGTAATACAGAGGAGGAGCGGTGGCGGAGGAAGAAGCAGCGACGTGGGACATGTCACTGCCTCTGGTAAGTTACTGAAGGGGTTTTCACCCCTTTAGCAACCGGGGATTGGGGGGGGGGTGGATGTGAGAGGGGACATGCAGTGCCAGGAAAATGAATTGTTTTCCTGGCACTTGAGTTTTCCTTTAAACTCGCATTTTTTTAAACATACTTACATATTTTTCTGTTCTTGTGTCATAACACCAGCTTGCACTATCTTTTTTGTAACATCCTGCATTTGCAAAACATAGCATTCTTTCTAACACCTGCAATTCTTAATTGGGTTCCTAAATCTCATACTGTCACTTGCATCAGTGAACAGTAGACTAACAGCATTGTAAAATTTATACTTTCGGTTCTGAGCCTCCTATGATTGGTAATGTTGCCGTTGATATATACACTCCTAGACAACTGTGTTTTATATACACAATGTACTATGCATTAAACTTTTGAATGCTTATTGATACCACATCTGTGTGGTGTGACTTCACTGAGTATTCCCAGAGCTGAATAGAGACCTGAGAAAGAAAGCAGAAAATACCTGTGGTTGTAGCGAATGTCCATGGCAGGTATTTGGGTTCGTATAACCTGAGGTGTTTTATTTACTATACTAAGCTTAGCCTGAACATCAAAGGCACAGCTGTCATTACATGCTACACAACTAGCAATGCTTATACTCCATCATATGGAGCTTAATGACAGAAGAAGAGTGGGGGTTGTTTTATGTGTATTGGTGATTTTTAAATTAAATTAATTGGCGCTTTAGGGAGAGCAACCAACAGGGTGCATGAGAACACTGAGAATGGACAACGGCTCGAATAGCTTGCCCTTCGGTGGGTCTCCGCTCAGATCTCAAGTTGGTTTTAGCTTATGTGCCATTACAAAAAAAACAAAACAGGCCATTTGGATATCAGACTGATGCCACCAAAAGGGCAGGACAGATCCAAAATTCAGACCAGTTCTCTCTGCGTGAGAGATACAGCAACCCCAGATGATCGTTTCAACCTTGTTAGGCATCGTCAGTTCGGTATAGCCGATACCCCTCTAGGCAACGTGAGCAAGGGGTCCACGTCTGGATTACCCTTTAAACTTAGGGAGAGCAAAAAACAGGGTGCCTCTCAGCCTGGACATTTGCTGGTGGTTCACACTCCAGGAATCGAGCTTCTAGCTGCACCTCCTGCTCTGTAGGTGGCCCAGCTTGCTTCTGTGCCCGTTTTCGCTCCACCATGTGTCTATGCGAACCATACACCTTGTTTCGCCACCTGAGTAGTGTTCGTTTTACTGCAAGATCACGGGTTGAGGTCGAAGACTGGCTGACGCTTGCTGCACTCTAGCTTCAGCCAAAAATTAGCAAAGAGGCTGACTATCCTGGACAAAAGTTAAGGATGGTTGCTGGTAGGAGTGGGGGAACATGCGGTCTCTGCCATTTTGGGAGTGTTGCAGCGAGTTCCGACAGGCTTAATGGTTTTACCCCTTGTTCCAGCCTAGTCCGGGTTGCCTCCTAGGGGTGGACCGGGATCACCTCTGCCGGTGCTAGAGGGGGGTGGGGAAATGGACATTCGCTCAAAACTAGTTGCTTCGGGGCACCTCCATGCTGGGGGATCAGCTGCCTCCCCCACCTTGTGTGTAACAGTCCGTATGTGTCACGGTGGAATTTGGAATCACCCGAAAAGTTGCTGACTGCAGCTCTGCGTGGCAGGTAGGTCCAGGAACCAGTACTTCTCATAGCTAGTCCCAAACCAAGCTTAGGAAAGGTGCAAAGTGTTTAATTTAGTGGAATTGTGGAGGAGCTCGTCTAGATGTGTCCTTCCACCATGACTGTCAGGCCCATCCCCTCTATATCCACATTATATACTACCATTGTATTCTGAACTTTTACTTCATATGCAATTTTTGATAGTCCTACCATGTTTAAGCCCACCACTGCTTTATAGTACCCCACTAATCTTAACATGGAATCCTGTTTTCATTTAACTCATTTGGGTTTTCAGAAAAAAGCATACATTTGAGAACAGAATTATATTTGAGCCAGATCAGTTACATGGATGAATTTCTGGGTCCACTATCTGCTCGTCTGCTTAATTTTATGCTGTTTTCTTCCCTTTTGCTGTGGCTCAAACTAATCTTCAAAGGCATTTTTTTTAACTGAATGAAAATTGAATTTCTCATTGGCACTGCCAAGTTCTGCTGTTTGTTCCGCTGACCCTATCCTTTTTTGCTTTTATCACCTCTCTTTCATTTTGTTTTGCAGAACCCCAATGAATTACAGAGACAAATTGTCTTTTTGCGCACTCTTCATTATTGTTGGAGAATGGAGTGGGTAACTCCTTAGGCCTTTTTTTCCTTCTTGTGAATAAGTGCCTTGATCTTATATGTCGACACTTCTTATGGCAAACGTAACCCACCTCTGCCTCCTTGTTTTGGTGGGTCTCTGAGTTGTGAGTCTCCCATGCTGTGAGCCCTACTGTGGGTCAAGATGAAGGTCTCCAGCAGACCTGTAGTCATGAACCAGCTGAGTGGCCAACATGGAGGACACAGTGTGGGCCCCTATGTTCTCCCTGAGGGACTTTGATGGTGCTGTGGAGGTGTGAAGAATGCCGAACTGTGGGCCTTTAGTGGGGGTCCTGAGGTAAGTAAGGAGAACTTGGGAATGGCCCGTAGTTTAATTTCTGCACTCTGATCAATGGGAAATTGATAGGTGCTCAACAGTCTTGAATTTACTTACCACTATGGCTTGGGGACCTCTCTGATACAGTTGCTGCAAAGTTTATTTTCTATCCTTAATGGTCCTTAACGCTGAAATGGTGACACTGTATTTTTTTTTTTAATGTCTCACTACACATCTGAGTTTAAAGTAGAACCGTTGCATGTGGGGACAAGGCAAAAAACAAACTTTTTTTTTTTTTTGGAGGAGGAATTCTTGAAGCAGTATAAGTAAGTATTACAGTTAACATGTTTTTTTTCTCATGCATGGATGGATATTAACATCAGCCATGCAAATATTCCCTGTCATGAATGGGGCATAATGCATGGTTCACCTCTGAGCAGTTTAATTGCCCTAATCTGGGGCTGAATTGGCAAAAAAACATAAGCACATATCTTATTAATGTCCCAATGTTTCTCTCTTATGCTTGAGATTGTAAAAACACAGTACTTTTCTTCATATGTTTCAATCTTGTCCACTTTTGGTAAATTTCTATCTCTGTCCTTTTGCCCCTGATTCCAGAAGCTTTCCTCCTCTGTATGTTTCCTAACACATTATGAGGCTGTAACGAAAATATTATGTGTATACTAGTGGCAGCCAACGTGTATTACACCTGCTTGGAAATCCTCCTTTCCTCCATCATTCATTTTTTTTACCAATGCAGTCAAATTTGCATACCTTTAAGCTGCTTAAGGATGTTGGGCATTGTAACTGTATTGAACAAACTAGTTATAGCAGGATTAACTATAAGGTGACCTAAGGTGGTCGCCAGGGACCAGGGGTTTCACAGGGGCCCCAGGAATTATGAAAATGCTTGGCCCCCATTAATCACCCCTATGGTTAGGGGTCCTAAATTGGTAACCTGCCTAGAACTTAATCCATCTTTTTTACTAGTGAGCTCATTTCCTTAGATTTGATAGGTTTATGTGTCTTGTGCCTTTTAATGTAACAATGGTGGTTTAATTGTATAAGTAGCAGATGTTTAAAGGGGGGAGAACGAGATGCGGAAAGGACAGAGAAATTTAGCTTTATCCATATACGGCACTAGAAGGCTCTACACCAAAGTGTTTCAGGATATGTTCACATATTGATCCGCTCCTGACTTACTCAACTCTTATAGCTAACGTTCATCAGGGAAACTGGCTCATGTGATATGTGTTTAAATCTCCCTCAAGGTTTCATATTTTTATTTAATAAAAGGTACCGATACAATTTAAGGAATTTTCTCTCTTTGACACACCATCCTTTTTTATTAACATTTTTTACTTGTATTGGAATCATAATGTAATTAACCCGTGTAACATCATCATTCATGCATCATTCTATTTATTCACAATTTTACACATCATTTTTATAGAAAGATAAAATACTTAACACTTGATTTTAGATGGTATATTTATTTTATGATCGGGCATTTAAAACACTCAGTTTCAGGTAGTGCATTCTAAATGAAACAACGCATGCTTTTTAGAGGGCCCCATTACTGGTGAATCATCACTCCATCCAACATTTCAGTTTCAAAATAAGGAATGCCTTATAACAGGAGTCCGTGTGACAGATGGTCCCATCGTTTTCGCATGTGTCTTGTGTCAATGAGAATTCACCAGTCTGCTTGCAGTGCTGGACTCCACATGATTTAGGAATGAACCATTCCCTGGAACTCTACAAACACAGGAGACAGATTTCATTAGCAAATTGTACATGTAATTTTTAATGCAAACAGCTAAAGATAAGTTTTATTATTTTGATGTAAAAGCTAAATGCAGAAAGGTACACTTGATGAATACTCAAAATGTCAAAATAAGTGCAATTCTGACACAGTTAAGGGAGCACTTTAAGCTCCAATTTTATGCCATATTATTTCGGAGTGGTTTCACAAAAAGAGTCTGACGAATGCCTAATAAGCAGACCCCTCTACAGCTGTGCGATAATCAGGGGCGTATTAGCTGCGAGGCAAACAAGGCATTTGCCTTGGGCGGCATTTTTCAGGGGGCGGCAAAAAACGCCGCCCCCCAAATGCCCAGGGCAGATGCCTTGTTAGCCTTGCGGCTAACTGACATCCCGGGCGGGCGGCGCTGGCAGGCAGGCAGGCGGCTGGCGAGGGAGCTCTTCCCCTGAGCTGACTGCTCAGCTCCCTCGCGCGCCTCAGAGTGAGGCTGGGAGCCGGGATATGACGTCATCTTCCGGCTCCCAGCCTCACTCTCCAGCCGGCGCGCGAGGGAGCTGAGCAGTCAGCTCAGAGGAAGAGCTCCCTCGTCAGCCGCCTGCCTGCCAGCGCCGCCCAGCCCAACCGGCAGCCACTGGACCACCAGGGAGAGAGAGACCCCCCCCCCAGCACTCCCAAAGGTAAGGAGGTTGGGGGGGGGATATAAATTAAAAAAAAAGTTAATGTGTGTGTGTCTGATTGTGTGTGTGTGTGTGTGTGTGTGTGTGTCTGTGTGTGTGTGTGTTTGTGTCTGACTGTGTTTGTGAGTGTGTGTGTTTGTGTCTGACTGTGTTTGTGAGTGTGTGTGTGTGTCTGACTGTATATGTGTGTTTGTGTCTGACTGTTTGTGTCTGTGTATGTGTCTGACTGTGTGTGTGTGTGTGTGTTTGTGTCTGACTGTGTGTGTGTCTGTGTATTTAGAAGGTGGGGCGGGGGGAAGGGTTGGGTGGGGGTGGCGCGGGGGGAGGGGGGCGCCTGAGTTTTGTCCTGCCTAGGGCAGCACAAAACCAGGATACACCACTGGCGATAATGCAGACTTTAAACTTGGTAAAAATAACTCTAGATATCAGGACCAGCCCACCATCTCTGCAATGTCCCATAGTCTTCAGGTCATCTGGGAGGTGTTTTGTATGGACAACTATGATCAGTTGAACAATAATATAACCCCCTCTAATGCACTCAAATATATGTAAAATAATTACAAATAACGCTATAAATATAAATAAGGGCACAAATAAATAAAAGAAAGTGAAGTAGATGTTACAATGGATTATTTACTAAAGAATGATTATGCATAATTCATAATGAATTTCAAATAGAAGGCCAAAATAGCCAAACTAAAAACATTGCTGGCTTGAAGACTTTTTTCCTATTAGTCTATTTTGGAAATATAAAATTCACTCTGATAGGAGCCTCTAATCAGTTTTGAGGACTTGATAATCTTTTATCAATAATTTTTTGGAATATACAAGGCAACGGAATACAAGAAGCTCATATACTTTATTAGAATATTAGGAAAAGCAATAAAACAACCTGTACCATAATTACCGTAAACATCATCTTATGTGTATTGGTGATGTAGCACGTGTGGGTTTAGGTGGATGTAGTGAGTGTATAGGGGTTGTAACATGTGTGTTTAGGGAATGTAGTGATATGGTATGTTAAAAATTGTGTCTGTAGGCCAAGGGTGAGCAAAAGGTAGATCCCCAGATGTTTAAAAACTACAACTTCTATGATGGTTTGTCATTCAAAAAGCATGCAAAGCATTGTGGGAGACATAGTTCCACAACAGATCTGGGGATCTACCATTTGGGCACCCATGGTTAGGCGATGCAGTGTGTGTATAGTGGATGCAGTGCTCGAGTCGGTAAATGCCTTGTTTGCCTCGCGGCTAAAACGTCCCTGTGTGCATAGTGGATGCAGTGTTTGTAGGGATTGCAGTGTGTGTATAGTGGATGCAGTGTGTGTAGGGATTGCCGTGTGTGTATAGTGGATTTACTCAGCTCTTGCCGTGCGTGCGCATTCAGCCGAATGGGAGGAGAAGTGGAGGATCGGAGGAGGAGAGCTCCCCGCCCGGTGCTGGAAAAAGGTAAGTTTTAACCCCTTTCCTCTCCCCAGGGCTGGGCGGGAGGGGGACCCTGAGGGTGGGGGCACCCTCAGGGCACTATAGTGCCAGGAAAACGAGTATGTTTTCCTAGCACTATAGTGGTCCTTTAAGCTCAACTTGTCCAAAACAGAGCTACTGGTCTTTCCTCCCTCAAGTGTTGCTACTCCTGTTTCTGTCTCCCTCCACGTTAATGGTGCTACCATCAGCACCACCACGCAGGCTCGATGCCTAGGTGTTCTCTTTGACTCTGACCTCTCCTTCACCCCTCATATCCAGTCAATCACCAAATCCTGCTGCCTCCATCTCAAAAACATTGCGCGCATCCGCGACTAAGGTGCTGGTCCATGCCACTGTCCTCTCTCGCCTTGACTACTGCAATCCGCTTCTCAGTGGTCTTACATGTTTCCAACTCGCCCCATTGTAGTCTATAATGAAAGGCTCATCTTCCTGTCTGCCCATACCTCCCACGCCTGCTTTCAAATCTCTACATAATGCTACTCCCACCTATCTATCCTCCCTAATACACAAATATGTCCTGTCTAGGCCCCTACGCTCTGCCAAAGACCTGCATCTATCCTCTGCTTATACTCCCACCTCTGATGCTCGTATTTAAGACTTCTCTAGGGCTGCACCATTCCTATGGAACTCCCTTCCCTTTTCCGTTAGATGTTTACCCAGTCTCCATTCCTTCAAAAAATCATTAAAAACTCACTTTTTCAAAAAAGCATATCAATTAAACTGTTAATGGCTCCTTAAAAACCCACACTAAGTCTTCATGAAATACTGTTCTACCAATCTACTTCTCTAATACTTCCCTTACCTTTTGTGTCACTATCTCACTCCCTCAAGCATGTAAGCTCATTGAGCAGGGCCCTCAACCCCTCTGTTTCTATGTGTCAAACTTGTCTGGTTACATATACATGTTTGTTAGTCCACCCATTGTAAAGCGCTACGGAATTTGTTGGCGCTACATAAATATAATAAAAATAATACTATGCACTCATACAGCAGCACTATGTAAATTTCAGTAAATTACAAATGATTAGAGTTCATGTTTTTTATGGACTTATGGTATGCCTTAAATTTTAAACAAACTTGCATTTGTCCAGTTTGTCCTTGACTGATATTTTCTTCCTACACCTATATCACCTTTAACATAAATGATTTTTTCAATGGAAAATATCATTGCAGTTTATATAACTCACCGTCTGCTCCAATTTTACCGTCTCCATCATGGTCAGCAGCAGCCATAAAAGCACTAGTTTCTGAGCTTGTTAACACTCTGGCGCTAGGATCAAACCGTTGTAGAAAATACCTAGGTAGGGCAACATAAATTGATATTAGTGTTATGACTCAATATTCATATTTTTATGCATAAGACACTTGGCTCCCTGTAGAAACCCAGGTGTTGTGTCTTGACCAATAACTCACCATTTTCTCCCTTCTGATGTCATTATTTGCTCTTATACCTCATAAATCTAAACACATTTAACATATTAGATGGGCCAGACTAGATGGGCCAAATGGTTCTTATCTGCCGTCACATTCTATGTTTCTATGTTTCTATATTTTTTTGGTTTGGCCCAACCATTTTGGTGAAATTGGCAGCTGCATACAGGAGCATGCAAGGGATACCTCATTGGCCACCTATGCCACATGCAAGTTGTCAGGATGAGTTTGAGGTAGTGCTGTGGAAGAATGAGGAAACAGAATATATAGGGGAGCTGGGAGGGAACTGATTAATTGTAGATGGTTTGCTTTGTACATTTGTGATATAAATGCATAGGTAGATAGATATGAAAATCTAAATATACCCTAAAAAAACCCTAAATAATAATAATATATCTCTTGGTTTTTGTACCCTGTTGTGGGACCATTCTCTTAAGTGGCTGGTTAATTGCCCCAGTTAATTTTTACTGGAATAAAGATTTCTACTTACCCAATCAAGTATGAAATTGAAACGTATTGGCAAACTTATTACCTCATTTGGATTCCACTACCACTTGTACGCTGATGACACACAGATATATCTCTCCTCCCCTGAACTCTCCCCTGCCGTCCTGCAATGTGTCACTGCTTGCCTTTCTTCCATCTCTGACTGGATGTCCTCCCACTTTCTGAAACTCAATCTCTCTAAACCTGAGCTCGTTGTCTTTCCTCCTGCTAATACTGAACCTCCTCTTTCGCTCTCCCTTCAAGTTAGTGGTATCCACATCAGTGCATCCTTGCAAGCACACTGTCTTGGTGTCATACTTGATTCTGGCCTCACCTTTGAGCCTCACATCCAGCATGTTGCCAAATGCTACAGATTCCATCTTAAAAACATAGCCCGCCTTCACCCCTTTCTTACGCAAGATGCTACTAAGGAGCTTATCCATGCTCTAGGAATTTGCTGCATGGATTATTGTAACCCTCTCCTAATTGGTCTTTTCAAAAACCATATTGCCCTGCTACAGTCTGTAATGAATGCTGCCGCCAGACTGATTTTCCTTTCTTGTCAGTCCTCTCACACCTCACCCCTCTATCAGTCCTTACATTGGCTTCCTGTATCTTATAGGAGTCCATTCAAAGTGCTTGACCAATTCTAGCCCCTCTTATATCTCTTCACAGATCCATAGGTATGCCCCTTCTCGGTCTCTCTGCTCTGCCCGTGACCTTCTTCTGTCCGTTGCTCACACCTGTACGGCCAACTCACCCTTGCAGGACTTCTCGCTGGTGGCTCCCTTCCTATGGAATAGCCTGCCTACCATCATCAGACTCACCCCAAGTGTTCAATCATTTAAGAAATGCCTTAAAACCCATCTCTTTAGGAAAGCTTATGGCCTCCCAGAGTAGCCTCTACCTGTCTCTTGCTCTCTCCAAATGGGCAGCACTCTATTCTCTCCTCCAGCTCTGCTTCACTCCCACCTTATTTGATTGCAATTTCCTGTGCTGATTCTTTACCCCACCTCCTATAGTCTGTAAGCTCGTTTGAGCAGGGTCCTCTTCAACCTATTGTTCCTGTTTTCTTGTAATTGTCCTATTTATAGTTAAATCCCCCCCTTTTATAATATTGTAAAGCACTACGGAATTTGTTGGCGCGATATAAATGGCAATAATAATAATACAATATACATTATGTATGTTTCTTCCACTATTTTTAATGTCATTTTGTTTTGGAGAATGGCAAATTTAATTTGAAGTTAGGACAGAGTATGAAACACGCGTTTTGTGCACTTTCCTAAAATGCAGCTTCTTGTTGATCTTGAGAATTAGTGTGGTCAAGCACATTCCTTAATTTTTTTGAATTTTTTTAATTTCTTAGAGGTATACACAACATTGGATGATCAAGGATATGTAAAAATATGGTGTGTGTGTGTGTGTGTGTGTGTGTATATATATATATATATATATATTTTTTTTATATATATATATATATATATATATTCCTTGTTTGCACTAGGTGTACTATTATGTTTTATGCACATATTTAAGTGCTCCACTGAATCTGGTACATTCCTTAATTTAACTAAAGTATTAGTATTCAATATGAGAATTGTTGAGAATTTAAAGTGAATTTATAATTTAAGGTTAAACTAGCAGAACTGGAAAAATTCTCCAATTCAGATTTGCTTCCAGTTTGGCTACTTGGGCCTTCAATTTGAAATTAACTTTGCATTCACTTTGAATTACTGACAATTCACACTATCATTTATGCATTTAATAACTTCTTGATAAAGGAATGGGCAAACCCAATTATATCACAATGGTCCTGTATTTCTGTCATAAAGAAATAAAATGTCAGAAGAAATTAATTCTGTCTCCTCGTATTATAGATAGTCACTAAAGGTATTTGCAAAATAATGTTTATGTTCCCTTAAAAGATTCTGTAAAATTAATTTATGAAATGTATCTTACTGGAGTTCAAGCTGTTCGATGAAACCACTCTCGTCATTATCTATAACCCGGAAAACCTCTTTTACTTGACTGGCAGTCTTTTTAGTCAGCCCACAGGTCTGGAAGAATTTCTTGCAGTTAAAGGTGTCAGGAGCTGAATGGATTGAGGAAAACAATGTCAGTAATATATATATACATGCTGATTGTAAAATGATTCAAGTTAAAATAAATGTTTTATATATGGTCAAGATCCAAAACAGTGATAGGAAAATGGTAATTTATATTTAAATGTAAGGTTTCTTTGGTGTTTAAGAAATTAGTAATTAATGGAATTTAGTGCTGTTTGACACATATAATCATTATACATTCTACATACGATAGGTGGAGCATTCAAAATAATATCTCTTTATATTTCTCCTCTAGTTAATTATTATTCTGCCAACAAGAAAGGGATTTCAAATTCACAGAAGCAATGTCACTATCTGAATTTAGTGTTTCAGATTTTCAATCAAAAGAAAAACCTGATAACACAAGAGAAAAGTGTGAGAGGTGAGGGATACCAGAGCAAAAACAAAATGGCTGCAATCGCAACGTTTCGGCAAAACTGCCTTTGTGAAGGGAGCATGTCCCTTCTCAAAGGCATTTTTGCCGAAACGTCGTGATGGCAGCCATTTTGTTTTTGCTCTGGTAATAAATGATTTTATTCTTTCTTAAAGGGTTATTCCAAGCATCAGAATCATGGCGGACGGTTGTCGTGGTTATGATGTTAGGAGTACCTTGGCGCTATTCATCATGAATGGGGCAAACCATTTAGCAACGGTTTGTCCTCTTGTATTTCCTCCTATAATAGAGCCTGAACAACATACTGACATTTATTAATTGGTTGAAGGTGTCAACTGAGCATAAGATGCACAGAATTGGCATTAACCAGTCTGAAACTTTAGTTCCAGTTTGGCTAATGACACTGTGGAGTGCAATAGAGGAGTTAGTGAGATGCACATAATTTAATATGAGTTCTTAAATTGGTCTATAACTAAAAGTGACTGGGTTCATGACCATTAAAATAACATTAAAGGGGTACTCTAAGCACTATTATCACTACAACCCCACTCGAGTACTGAGTCAAATAGTTTGATATTTAACTGCCCTCCATAAACCCTCACTCATCGTTGTCTTATCTATCTATATAGAAACTTCTCTTCAGCTTGGCTACATCAATTTTATAAAAAAACATTGCCTACATTCAGTGGTTGAGACTGTCGGTTGACACTCTCAGTCAATGAATCATATGAAAAAAATGTCAAAATTTAGGAGCAACTCGCTGCTTGACAAATACTATTTATGTGAAACAGTAATTGTTTGTTTGTTATAACATTTTTTATTTATTTATTAGTAACAGCTCCAGAAGCGTTTACCTTGGCACTCCCTCAGAGCGGCCGAAATGTCAGAAGCACTGAGGACATCTGTAAGGCTCATCTTGGTTCTGTTAAAGGAGTCAGAAAAGACATGGATACTAAGAGGAAATCAAATCCCAAATATTGTAACTATAGCTAATAAGCACAGTAAATTATCAGGGAGCAGTCATCCTGCTTTACTATACAAACTGAAATCCTGGAGGTATATCATAAAGCAGAAATGGTGGTGTAACGAAAAGAGACACTTTAGGAAAATGTCATGTCAAATAAAAACGCATGGCACACAAAAGAGGAGAGCACAAAACTAAATGTACAAAAACAAGAGAATTTCGAACTCATGCCATGCCATATATGGTACTTACTCATAGGCATTGTGAGTAAATGCCACATTAAGCATTACATGTGTATATATCCAGGTGCCAAAACAATTGTGGTGAGACCAAACAAATTAAAACTCACCACGGTGCACTTAGAAAAAATTATTTTATGCATCACCCGCATACTTCACGTTTGACTTTGGAAAGTCCTCCTTGGGCACAGAAACTCTAGAAAGGATGTTTCCACAACTATCCCAGAGTGGCCAGCTTAATATGCAAATAAGCACAGACAGGCATTGCGTTTTAGACTTCATTCTGCAGATACTCTTAATAAATTATGTTTTAAACACAGCTCTTGTTAAGCCATAGCATGAATTTTCTACCCAAAAGGACCAGTGACTATAAACCAGCTATGGACTGCAAATATGACCAGCATGACCGCATGGTTCTAGTCTATAAGTTGAAGTCTCTTTGACATGTCAGACAGGCATTGTGTTTCAGTTTTCATTCTGCATTTCTGCAGGTACCCTTAGCAGTGGAGACTTTAATGTCAAAACCAGAACTGGCGCCATGCTTATGAGACCCACAAAGTCAAAACTGCAGTCCATGACTGGTTTCTGGTAACTAGTCCTTTTCGATCACCGTGATATGGTTTAGATAAAGCTGTGTTTAAAATAGCGCCTATTGCTAAGGGTTATATATATATATAGGTTAAGTTCATCAAGGTTAATCATAAACAATGATAGCAAATTATAGAGAACTCCTGGAAAGACTAAATTGACTGTGTAAGTTTAACATTTTCGGACAAAATCTGAACCTAGAGTTGGTGTTCATTACCATTTTGGTTGTATCTTATATTGGTACCCAAACCTACCTGCATGGCAGACAGAATAGAAAGAGTTTCACTTGGATACAGGACTAGATTTATCAGTCCTGAATCCAAGTAAAATGAATCCAATGCTTCACTTGCGTGTGCATGTGCATGTAGACACAAGCTTTTCCTGTAAATGTGTTTTCATCTCCCACACTGCACAATTGTTAGTTACACAAGGCCTAATACTCGTGAATCTATAGTACAATTAGTATAGTTTGTTTCGATTATTATACCCATAGATGATATCCTATTCACTTGTAAAAATGTATGTATGTATGCACATAATAGACACATTTCAGAAATCTAGAAATTATTTTCACTTAGAATTTAGAACATTGGGATCACATAATATATTTTTACTTTTATCCTATAGTGTCTTTTGCAATTTCAAGTTAGGATATCCGATAAACTCAGATCCTCTTGATATCTCTGCTGGGGCCTTATTTCTCTTTCATTTTTTTACCTTGTAGAAAATGTACTTTTTATAGCATGACCAGGTAGAGTAGATGGATTTAACGTGTGGAAAGGACATGTTGATTCTTGACAGTACAATCCTTCTCCCTATTTCCCTCTAACCCTCCTCCCCTGTATTTTTCGAGTACTTCTTCTCCACGTGTTTCCTTTACCCTACACATGTTACAGTATTTTTAAACTCTTTTTTTTATTTAAGAAATTCTAAAAAAAAAATATATATATATCTATTAAAATAGATAGTGTGAAAAAAAAGTTGCTTGTACTTAGTGCTTGTCTCATATCTTCAATTTATTTTTTATAAATTACTATTTAAAAAAAATATATAAATGTATACTATAGAAGGACGAAAAAAAAGTACAAATACCACATAAGTGCTGGATTTAACATGCATGCAGATGTTATCCTCTATTAGTTATAAATTTAAAAATAATTTTAAAATTGAAACTATATAATCGATGCAAGATTGCATCAAAGCAAAGGCTAAAATAAAAGATATTTTGTCAACAGTAAAAATAAACGTTTAGAATGATGGTCTGAAATTGCATTTTTCAAAATTGCAGAATATATATTAAAATCATTATACCCCTCTACTCTAAGAATAATCACCATGGTAACCGATGGAATGTACCTCCTGACAGGTCAACTTTTAGAACTTTGTTGTATTAAAGTTCCTTCTACAGAACCCCTGATGCTGCTCATATAAATTCATCGCAGCCATAGATAGAAATGGTTGCACTTACCTTGAGTGGTGCAGGGAGAGGATGCTATAGAGTAAGTAGGAAGAAGAGAGCTGTGGAATGAAGGAAAATGTCAGGTTTATATAGGATGTGAGGAGTGACAATAAGCATTACTTGGGTTACTCAACCTGGGATCAAGTGCATGATTTGATGACCAGCTCAAATTTCTCGCCTAACTAATTGGCTTCTTCTATTTATAACACTGATAAATTAACATAAGAATAGCAGTTTGGGACTTTTAATATTTTCTGTTTGTTAAAAAGCTCTTATTTGCATTGAAAAAAAGGTTAAATTTGCACTGACTTAATTTAGGAGCAATCAATAGTTTTTTTTTTTGCTTTATAGTGGTGAAATACGACCTTCATAGTTCGTTGGCTGCCAGGAACAGACTGAGGATACTGGGGGTTATAGCCAACCCAAGATATAAAACTACTTTTTAAACTGCAAATCACTTTAAACAACTTTATTTTATCCTAGACCTATTGGTGACATACTGAGAATGATGGGAGTTAGAATACAGGAGGATTCAGACAGCTCGCCGTTATCGACGGGTGATTAATTGTTGAACTCCATTAAGAGTATCACACTTACCATTCTTGTGCATTTAGTAGTATTGATGATATTTTCAATGATGAGATTTTGTAGCGCATGTTAATGTTTTATCTATTGTTGACTAATCGTGGGTTTTTTTGGGTTCAGGATTAAATGCCACTTAACATGGATGCATTAAATGGTGCAGGGTCCACCAATGCACACACCCAGGATACTAAATTGAGATATGTCTGGAAATCAAAATGAATTAAAAGTAAATTTAAACTTTTACGCCAAAATATCCAAACTGGAAAAGTCAGCTAGTTTTCTGGAACATCCCCATAGGCCCTTCTAGAGGAAAACAGAGCAATGGTTTACATTAGTGTAGTTGAGGATTCTTATGATAATGAGCTTGCAGTTGTAGTAGGATGATGAGGTTAAAAATTTATTGATATGAACCAGATAGCAAGCATATTAAATAAATGGGCACCTTAGCTATACGTCAACAATAATCTCAGAGTTATATATTAAAGGGCTACTCTAGACACCATGACCACTTCAGTAATTTGAAGTGGTTATAGTTCCTAGCGCCTGTATGTGCAGTGTCACTGGAGTGTCATCAGCTAGCAGGTTGTAGTGGTTATGATGCTTTTAATAACCCTTTAAACACATACCCAAGATTTGCAGCAGAGGTCAGGCCTTTGTTATATCATACCGAATATCATATAATCTTTGTAACTAGCTGACCCTGCCTGTCTTTCACGTGTTATATGATTCTGCAACTTGTTTAACCTTTTATCATATTTGCCGCTGTGACACCACATCAGAAATGACTTGATTCTACTGTTTTGTCATAGTGAGCAAACTCTATAATTTGCCTTTGGTTTAATAATATCTCTTCGCAGTAATGAAACTGATTCTGTCTGTTAAACTTTGTACTCACATTGTGACCTTGTATGGACATCATTTTGTGAAGAGACCTTTCTGTAGAAAATGCAAGCCTAATTTATTATTTTCATAAACTTTAACTGCAATACTACTCCCTAGGCAACGAAGGTATATTGGCACCGTTGTAATCCCCAAATTCTCTATTTTACACAATCCTTATTCCAACATAATCCACCCCAGTCACGATTTCATACTTCCCAATGTCGGAAATATCGGTTAGTGCAGAAACTAGTATTATGTACAAAAATAGTGTTGTGTTCACTTTTTCAGTTTTTTGGCACTTTACTGTATGCACCAATTTTGTTTTCTAATTGTGCCAAAATATTCCTTACCTCATTTTATTTTACCTTCCTTTTTTTTTTTTTTTTTTACAAATTTGTCAATATATAAAAAAGACATCTATAATATAACTTTTCTTTCTTACAGATATTACTGCCAGTGCTCTTAGACAGGAAAGCATTGTTTACTTTTACCTTTTTAAAGGATCACTAAAATCAGCCAACTCAGTCCTGGAATCAAATGCCTCGTTTAGCATCATTTAATTGGAGGAGTGCAGCTTTTGAAAGTAATGATTTTTATTTTCATCACTATAGGTTCCCTCTAAAGAGCTCCTGTCACGCCCAAAATCTACTTTAGCTGTTTTTAAAGAGCATGACATTTAATATATATGTTGTGCAGGCAAATGTATAAATTGTGAGAAAAACCTATTTAAATTTTGTATTTTTTTCTCCTATTTAAAAAAAAAAAAAAAAAGTTTTTCTTCCAACTGTCAATCAGTTCTTCGTTTTGTTGTGGAATTAATTTATGAAGGAGAGAAGAAAAGTCCTCCCAGATGTGGTCCATCTGTTCTCCATCCATAGCAACCACAGCGCATGTGCTGTAGTTGCTATGGTGACTCCCTAGCTGGCACTTGCAGTGATGGTTAGGGAATATAGGAAAGGTCAGGTCAGCCAGCGTGTAGGCATCATGGAGGAGGTTTGCCCTGCTTGGGGAAGTGCCCCAAAGCAGGGCAAATCAGTGACATTGCAGGAGGAGCGAGGGAGGACCAGAGGTGAGGGTTACAGAAGTGTAACACTCACCTCTCTAATGATATTGCTGAGAATGAGGTACATGGTGGCAAGTTTCCTTTAATGTATAAAACATCCTTCATTTTTCAAATTATTTTTTCTTCTTCTTAGTAATATTAATCTTTTGCCTTATTTTATGAATGTAATATAGAGTAAAATAATTTTAAAAATAAGGAGCAGGAATGAAAGGTTGCCGAAAGAAGAATTATGTTGGTGAATTACCGAAATGGTGGAAGAAGTCACCAATGTTTAAAAGGTTTAACAACAGTTTTACATATAAGGAAAATGGCTGATACACATAAAACAGGCGTAAACACCAAAGGAATGTGTCCATTTATACATAACACGTATTGCTATTATTTTACTACACTTTCACTTAGACTGCACACTTAAATGGCCAGAGCCTTTCACCTCTTGTATCTGTCTGCAATATTTTATGTTTGATCTTATATTTTCCCATTGTAGAATTGTAAAGAACAGAGGAATATGTTTGTGCTATAATTGATTATGATGATAATAATAATATTAAGAAGAATACACATAGATATATTGATTTTTACACATTCTCTTTAAAAGTATAGATATGCAAGATTGTGGGTATCAACTCTCATAAACTCTGTTTGTCACACTAAAAGGGTTATTCACTAACAGCATTATTTACTCAAGTGAGAATTCAAAATGAATTTCAAATTTAAGGCCAGAGTAGTAACGGAAAGGATATATTGACCTTAAATAAGAAATTCACTTTGAATTCACCTTGAATTCTTACTTTTGTGAATAACCCTGTAAGTTGGAGACTTTTGCAAATTGTAGGCCAAAATAAAAGTGCTGTAGGAATAGATGAGTTGCCGAATATTTTTGTTTCAGTTTGGCAACTTTGCCTTAAAGGAACACTATAGTTACCTAAATTACTTTAGCTAAATAAAGCAGTTTTAGTGTATAGATCATTCCCCTGCAATTTCACTGCTCAATTCACTGTCATTTAGGAGTTAAATCACTTTGTTTCTGTTTATGCAGCCCTAGCCACACCTCCCTTGGCTATATTTGACAGAGCCTGCATGGAAAAAAAACTGGTTTCGTTTTCAAATAGATGTAATTTACCTTAAATAATTGTATCTCAATCTTTAAATTGAACTTTAATCACATGCAAGAGGCTCTTGCAGGGTCTAGCAAGCTATTAACATAGCAGGGGATAAGAAAATCTTAATTAAACAGGACTTGCAATAAAGAAAGCCTAAATAGTGCTCTCTTTACAGGAAGTGTTTATGGAAGGCTGTGCAAGTCACATGCAGAGAGGTGTGACTAGGGTTCATAAACAAAGGGATTTAACTCCTAAATGGCAGAGGATTGAGCAGTGAGGCTGCAGGGGCATGTTCTATACACCAAAACTGCTTCATTAAGCTAAAGTTGTTCAGGTGACTATAGTGTCCCTTAAAAAATTTGCAACTTCCTTGTTGATTTCTGACAATGAATAACCCTGTATATTTTGTAATTATATACTTTTCTCAGCAGTGCAGTTTTTGTTATCTCTATATAAATATAAATACAAACAAATTTCCATATTATTTAAAGGCACCTTGCACATCAAAGACAGGCACTAGAGGCATATTTAAGCCTGCAATGTAAGCAATACCGTCTGTATCTACTAAATGCCAACACTTTTCATTTTAGGGTTAAAACTTAAGAACCACTGAACCCTGCTCACTTTATTAAGATGAACAGGTCTGGGTGCTTTTAGTGGTCCTTTAATATTCCACCCACTGTCTTCTGTACTAGATCAATGGACAGTGAAAGACGATCATACTATGAAATGGTAATCTTAGAAGCAATGTCTAATTTCTTGACTCCTTGAGAAAATCTCTTGCCGTTAGAAATGCCTGATATTTAAGCACCAGTTGCCAAAACACAGAACTCTTTGTTTACACCTTAGTTACTGTAGAAGAGTTAATAATTGATTTATTTTATATTACAGAATTGATTTATTTATGAATAAATATAATATCCTCTGCAAACTGAGTGAATAGCAATAATTAGAATTTGCAGTTATTATGAAAGATTCCCTTTTCACTTAAACCCAACAAAATACAAAAAGAATATAGTCACAAAAAAATAACATAACGACTTTAAAGTGAGGTTGTTTGGCATAGAAAACGCACACGGGAGGGTTATTGTGGCATCTGTTACACATCTGTTAGATATACCTTGACAAAAGGAGAGAGATCCATTCACCATTTGATCGGTATGGCTAAAGGAAATATACAGGAATAATAAGCATGACTGAAATTGTCTGTAGGAGTCTACTTGCCAGACGTTACCATCATTATAAACTCTTTCAGTAACTGGTGGTAAGAAATACCTTGGCGGAAAAATCCATAAAAGTAAAATATTGGTGCATTGTCAATTAAAATACAAAACTTATAAAAAAAACAAAAACATCTAATTGTTGTGGAAATGGCTATCACACCAGCAGAGAGGATATACATGTAGTTATAGTGTC